GTCTTCATCACTTAAATTCAGTCCATCATTCACCCCAGGCCCATTTCCATCCTTAACAGACCCACTTCTATCTTTCTCAATTCCAGCCACATTTCCATCCTTAACAATCCCAGTATTCTCCCTAATTGATTCAACAGCACCAATCCCTGCAAACTCTACATTTTCATATACATGCTCATCAAAGTCTAAGTCATCATTTCTCCCACACCAATCCCTGCAAACTCTACATTTTGATATACATGCTCATCAAAGTCTAAGTCATCGTTTCTCCCACTATCCCCACTATTCTCATTGTAGTCAAAGTCATCACAGTCCTCATCATCAGCTTCTGAATCTAACTGCTCTTCACCTACATTTTCACCATCACAACCCCCCTCACATATCACCTAAACCTCAATCTGTTTGGGAAACTGCCCACTATCACAAATTGCCCAACAATCACTATCACTGTGTAATTCAAATAACACTCCACTAGTAGGTGTGAAGTATTTAAATTTATCTAACATGTTATATCCTAGTTCATCAACAGTTTCCCTTAAAGTTATCATTGCCCACAAGTCAATATCCAAATTATAACACTCAGTAGCCCCTCCAACATATCCAATTCCATTCTTTTTTAGGCATCCTCCATGTCTTAACTTTAGAGTAAATGTATTTGTATTATTTCCAAACACAAACAAAACAACCAAAAATGAACAAACTTAATTTGAATTTTAACATATTCTATACTGAAACAATATAAAGACAACACCATGTGGCCCCCAGAACATCAATTTTTAATTAATTTCACAGAACTAGTTGGATTTGCATGTGGTCCCCATAACATGAATTTATTTCAACATAATTGCAAAGAAAAGGTCACCACCAACCCCACATTACAATGTTGTGTACAAGCAATAGCAGACAACAAAGGACAATGACAATACTTAAATGACCAGCACATGCTTTATCTATGTTACTTTATTCAGTCTATACCCACAAAACTCATATTACAAAAACAAAAAAAAAAAAAAAAAATTGACTTTTACGTAGGTTTCTGTGGTCCATCGTCCTTGCTTCCTCCTGTTGTTATTCGTGGATTAATATTTGCAATTTCTTCAATTTTGGTTGGGATTTGCTTCGAAGAACATCCGAATCGCAGCTTCGTTGATTGAAAATTTGATTTTAGGATTAGGGTTTAATTCACTGATTTCCTAAGTCAAACATAGTTGCGGACCAGTTGACATTGGTAAAGAGAAGCTAACACATGAATTGACGCAATTGCCCTTGGATTTCACAGCTATCAGATGGAAAAGTTAACGGTGGACCAAAAGTGAAACACTTAAAATAAGAGTGGTTGCAATGTGGCAAGACAAATAATGGTGGACTAAAATTGGAATGCACCCTATAACAGTAGGACCAAAAATGGAATTAACTCTTACAGAATCACTGTTAGAATATCAATTGTATATCCCTATATCCAATTTAGGTAATTTATTACAGAAATTTCTTATACTGATTTTTATGTATTTGTGTGTCACCTTGATTTAGTGCTGGTTTATTTTTTATACGTCTAAACTGTGTGACTAACAGATTAAATATTTGGCAAATGATGATATTACAATCTGATGCAAATTCTACAACCATTTAACTAAATTGAAATTGGTATATCTTAAACTCAGTCTATGACATATGGATGTTAGATCCCTGGCAGAGCTGTTCTATTTGTATACCTTTAAATATAAATTGAAATCTCTTAGAATGATTATGTGGTAACCCAATCAGAGTTGGTTAATAAAATGAAATTATATACTGGAATTGAAACTTAAAGTACATGTAGGATGATATTCCTTAAAATAAAATTGTAAAAGCTAATTTCATACCTATTTTCTGGTATAGACATAAGTAATGGTGAGAATAACCATTGAACCACTTGTGTAATCGACAAATGTGTTTGCACAAGACAAACTCGACATCGAACCAATACACCGCAAAGGAGTGTGTTCACCACACAGTATAAAATATAAAAACATTAAAATCAATAGCTGATAATGGTAAATATATTATATCTCCAAAATAATAATACATACCTAATACCTTTCTCTAAAGTCAATGAACTCAGGCAACTCTTCATTGAAGAGTACCTGCGTAGCGTCATAAGAACTCGATATCTTGACTTCGCTAGCTAAAAAAAGTAAAATAAACTCTACTAAGAATATTAGAGAAGAATAGAAAGACTAAATATGTAGTGTTTTAACATTAGAAACTCTGCTAAGAATATTATCGAAGAATAAAAAATTTACTGTTGACATCGTGCTTTGCTTTACAAATATGCAAAAGCACTATAACAGGACCATTAACTTTAGCTTTGAAAAAAGGCTCAACTTTGGAAACGTGGTCGTCCCACACTACATTTCAATTGTTCCCCTCTGTAAAAAAATTTGAAACAGATCAATTTAATAACAAATAACTTTACAATGCATAAAAAGATAGTAATAAGCTCAAATTATACATGTATACAAAAACATACAAAGTAAGCTTAACTTGTCCGTGGAACATAAATCTCCACAACTCTACCCATTACATCTATACAAAAACAAACAAAGTAAAGGAAATAAATATATATGATAAATTGTAAATGATATCAAAGTAAAACATACCTATTAATTTTTTATCATCAAACACTTTCGGTGATTTCAATGATGATAATGATTTTAAACGGTACATGTGTCATGGGAAGTTATGTTCCTGTACTCTTTAACTTGAATTGCATAATTAAACTTTATCATACACTTGTTGCTTGTCTTATATGTATAGAAGTTAGTGATAACTAATTAATTCTTTATACAGTAAATTTTTCCTTCCTTAAAATGATTTTGGTAATTAGCCACATGCTCTTTTGGTATATGAGCATGCAAAAAGCTTCACTGTATGATTGACAAAATAACAGAGACATTAAACTCTGGTTAAAGGAAATTCAACTATACTATTTAAAATGAAAATGTTATATATTTAATAATTAACACAAATAAATTGAAAAAGAAATATATTTACGCATACCTCTTTGCGGCGGCAAGGGGGTGATTGGCTGCTCCATTGCTGCAAACAGAAAATGACTTCCCAAAAGGGAAAGTCATTTTCAAGAAAATCCCCCATATTTTCCATTGACCACACCCTTATTTCCCATTGACTTCCATTTTCCCCTCTAACCAAACACTGGAAATCCGAAAAATGATTTCTAGAAATCAATTTCCGAGTTTCAGAACGCATCCTAAATGAAATTTACTTGTACATTCGAAAAAAAAAAAAAGAAGAAGAAGAAGAAGAGTGTGTGACTGTGTCCATGTCACACACTCTTGGGGGGGGGGGGGGGGGGATTATCATAAACTTTAGGGGTCCATGTCAAGATTTCCCAAAATATGGCATATATTATTAGGGAAAATAACACTTTTCTCTCCTGAATTATTCAAGTGGCAGTTTTTCCCCCTTGAAATGTTAAATGTTTATTTTTCGTCTCCAACAAATTATGACCATGATTTGGTTCAAATCGAACCGACACTATAGCAACCAAACTGAAATATTTCGATTACAATTTAGAATCTAAACCCGATATTTAGAGTTTATTAAAATCGCGAACCAGAACGGTCGGTTCATGTTTCGAACTGAAAAAATACATTTATTGTTGAATTTAGACTATTTTAAAAATAAAAAATAAAATTTTAAAATAAAGTTTGAACCAGCAGTTCAAACCGGATCCGAAACCGTGAACCGACGGTTCAAAATCAAAACCAAATCGCAGTCATATATACTTATATGTGAGAATCATAATAAATGTTAAAAAAAAACCATACACTATTTGTAAATAATATAATTCTAATTTTAAACTAATGCTAGTAGTTGTTCCAATTTCAACCGTCGGTTCACGGTTCAGAATCCAATTTTTTCGATACATGATTTTAATAAACTGAAATCCAAATATTGGGTTCTGGATCTGAATCATAACCGGAAACTTTCAATTCGATTACTATAGTATCTGGTTCAGTTCGAACCGAACCGTGATCATCTTTTAGGGCAAATTATATCGTGCACCGCGGTGCATAATCCATTATGCACCGAGCTTCTAAACGACGCCATTTTGTTTAATGAAAAGAAATGGCACCCGTTTCGTGCCGTTCCGCAAAAAGTAACTCTGTTATTCAGTTTCATTTTGTATACACTGCAGTTTCAGTTCAACACAACTACAGTTTCATTTTAATATAACTACAATTTCATTCGATATTTATACACTCAAATATGTGAAAATGTTATTTAATTTTATTTTATATACACTATAGTTTCATGAAAACACAACTACATGATCATTTCGATATAACTACAGCTTCATTGCACAATATACACTCAAATATGTGAAATGTTATTCAGTTCCATTTTATATACACTTCAGTTTCATTTCAACACAACTACAGTATCATTTTGATATAACTACAGTTTCGATGAGTAATATACACTCAAATATGTGAAATTGTTATTCAGTTTCATTTCAACACCACTATAGTTTCATTTCATTTCAATTGCAGTTTCACTTGATAATAAAAAAATAATACGTGAGGCAATGTCAGTTTAGATACACTGTACTTTCAGTTGGTAATTAATACACCAAACATGCGCACTCGGTTAACTGAAACGGCGCGCCGTTTCTTTACTTAAAGAAACAACGCAATTTTTGGACCGCGGTGCACAATGCATTGTGCACCGCGCTCTACACTATAATTGTTGATCCCTTAGTATAAGCAATAATTTGTTGGAGAAGATAAATAAATAAATAAAATGTTTAAGGGTAAAAATGTCAATTTAATATATTAGGGGAAAAATCGTCACTTTTAGAATAATTGATGGCTAATATGCTTACATGAATAATTAAGGGGGAAAATATGCTATAAACATATAATTCAGGGAAGAAAAATGCCCTTTTCCCTATATTATTATATTAAATCTTAAACGTCATCGTTCGATGGCTCCTCCATAATTCCTCTAAAACCTCTGCCACCTCACCTGGGAACTTCGGAAGAAGAGAGTGAGACGGAGACCGATAGCTCGAAGCCCTATCGTCCCGCCAGGTCTCGCCGTCGGCCGTACCCCACCGGATAGAAGACCAAACAAAGACGGAGAAGAATGTCGTCGACGCTACTGGAGGTGACGCGTGCGTCGCACGAGGAGATAGAACGACTCGAGCGGCTCATCGTGAAGGATCTCCAGGCCGAGCCGGCTACCAACAAGGACCGCCTCCACCAGAGCCACCGCGTTCGAAATGTCATTGAGCAAATACTCGAAACCACGCACAAAATCGTAATTTCCATATCCATTTTCTGCTTAATTTTGCTGTTCAATTGGCTAGGGTAGACAATAGTTTAGTCAGCTAATCCTGTATTGTTATTTTGGTGCAGGTTGATATCTACGAAGATAAAGACGGTGCACGGAAGGATGAGATTGCAGCTCTTGGAGGCCAGACTGCAACTGGAACTAACGTGTTCAGTGCTTTTTATGACAGATTAAAGGAGGTAACAAGAAGGCTAGGGTTCTTTTGAGTTTGTATAACTGTACTCCATTATTATTTATGAGAACTTGTCATTGCAATTTATTCAAATTAGCTCGTAGATTTCCTGAATATAAGGTTGGAACTTGTTTGTCTAATGTGTGTATAAATTCTTGGATGTATAGATCCGGGAATACCATAGACGGCATCCTGCTGCACGTGTTGTCGATACCAGTGATGAGTATGAGCAGCTTCTCAAGGAGGAGCCACAGATGGAGTTTAGTGGGGAAGTGAGTGTCCTTTCTTTTTCTATACTTGCAAATATGTATTTGTCTCTTATATGCATGGAAGTTGGGGGCCTTGGGATAGCGCTTCTGTGCCTAGCATCTTTACAGAGTTGTTTGATAAATTGCAATTTTGTAATAGAAGAACATGTGACTCAGAAGAAGAAATCATGATTTAGAACAAGAATGGCTTGTATGTAATTTTTTTTTTCTATAAGACATTTCCAAGATCATATGGACATATTATGATCCAATTTTTCAGTTCAAATGTGGGAGCCATATACATTATTGAGCATGAGTGTAGCTTTCTAGTTGGAAAAAGCATTGATTTGGACCAATATTTCAACAAGTCTGAGGATTTTTCTGTATTTAGTTATTGCATTTAGCATCTCTTATGCAGGTACTTGGAGAGAAACACATTGGTTTATATATGAGTGCCTGAGTGGAGTTTTCTAGTCTTGAAAAGCTTTGACATAGGGCCAACACTTCTCCCAGTCTTTGATTCTTTTGCTCCATGTAGGTATTGCATTTAGTATCACCAATGGATGCACAAAAAATTAGAGTTCCTTTAGTGTTCAACCAATGGTAACATGAACTGCATCAAATCCCTTATGTTTCTTGGATTACGCACTTGAAAATCTGTTGTGATGCACTGATGCTCTATGCTAATGTAGAAATTTCAATGTAGCGGTGTACCATCTTTCACTAACCTCTAGTTAACATGGATTCTAATGCAGGAGGGGTTTGGGCGATACCTAGATTTGCATGAACTGTTTGGTGAATATATTAACTCCAAATTTGGTGAGCCAATTGAATATACTGCTTATCTTGACGTCTTCTACAAACCACACAAGATTTCGCGCAAACTGAAGTCAACAAGGTAAATTCCTTCCTTCTCCTGTTCTTCAAGAGATAGCAGATCAGAATCACCCTTCTCTCTCTCTCTCTCTCTTTTATATATATATATATATATATATATATATATATATATATATATATATATATATATATATATTGTGGAGTCTATGAAGGTTCTTTAATGTTCAAAATTCAAAGGGACTGAAGATATGTAATTGTTGGACTCAGATCACCCTCCTGAAGTGCTCATGAGCTTTAGTTTGTTTATGCATTCTTTTTCTCATTCTCATTTGTGATTGACATAGGTGTTAGAAAAATGAATTCCTATAGGGGTGCATGGAGCTACTAGCTTGGTTTGATTTCCTTTTCTTTAATCTGATTTCTTGTGTTCCGTTAACAATTATATTTGTTTTTTCAACAGGCAGTACAGGGAATATTTGCAGAAGTTACTTGAGTATTTGATATATTTTTTCGAGCGGACAGAGCCTTTGCAGGACACTGATAGGATATTTTCAAAGGTTTATTTTCTCATTTTGGCTCCTTGTCCTGACTTTTGAACCTTATTGTTTTCTTACAACCCAGTTTGTCATATGTCATATCATATAATCAGACTCATACACATAGTGATGTGTTTTATCTCATTCAACTGCATAATCTTCTTCTAGATATAAATGGATTGAAGATAGTACAGTATGTACCTTAACTGTCCACATCAGTTACAAATGTTAGAACTACTGACATATAGTAGCTATGGTTTTACTACTATAGTATCTCATGATGAGGATTGGTGATTGATTTCCCCTATCCCCATCTAATATTGCTACTATATAATAAAAATGAAGAAAAAATATGTGTTATGGTAAAACTTGTTATTGCTTAAGCTTGTGGTGCTATGGCACAAAACATGATTATGTGCAGTCAGGTTCTGTCAAGCACCGAGTTTTCATTATTTCAGATAGTATGCCAATCTGGCTATAGACTATTTAGATGAACTAATGTTTGAATAAAACAACTATAGTAAAACTTGTTATACTTAAGCTTGTGGTGCTATGGCACAAAAAAATGATTATGTACAGTCAGGTTCTGTCATGCACTGAGTTTTGATTATTTCAGATAGAATTCTAATCTGGCTATAGAATTATTTAGTTGTACTAAAGTTTGAATTTAGCAACTGTAGTGTTTGTATTGGGACATTTCCTGTACAAAGGTAATAAGTGTGCTATCGGTTTAGATTAGTACTATTTGAAATGTAATTTTTCATATGGTATGTAGTTAAATTATGGTGGATCATTAAGGTTGATGTTATGCATAGTCTTCTTTCCATAAGTTGTCTGGTCTCATATAGGTGGTTGCTGAGTTTGAAGAGCAATGGACAAATGGGAGCTTTGAAGGATGGGATGATGATTCTCAGGAAAATGGGAGTGCTTCAATGGATCATACTGTGATTGATCTTGACTACTATAGTACAGTTGAGGAATTGATGGAAGTGGGCCCTGATAAGCTGAAGGAGGTATATAAACTTGTTTGCTGATATTCTTTTACCCTCTTGACAGCCAAATAAACTTCAGAGGTTGACCTCTGTTTTCATGGCAGGCATTAGCTGCACTAGGATTGAAGTCAGGAGGTACTGTCCAGCAGCGTGCTGAAAGACTTTTCCTTACAAAGGTTAGTCTTTCAAATATTTTGGTTCTTAATATAATTATTCTAGCCTGAGATTCTCTTAATTTCACTGGTCTGAAATCTGAATGGACTTTTTATTTTTATTTATTTATTTTTTGAGTCAATTGGTTCTATAAAAACATTTTCATCATGGTGAGTTCTGTTTGCAGCATACACCTCTTGAAAAATTGGACAAGAAACATTTTGCTAAAGGTTCTCGGGGTCCTGAGCGGAATGGTGGTGGTGCTCCTCCACAACTGAATGAAGATGCAAAAGAAGTTGCACTTATGGAAGCGAAAATAAGAAAGCTCTGTGATCTATTGGAGGAGGTGTGTAACCTAAATGCGTATAAGTTGCAGGAACAAATTCAGTTGTAGTATAGTGCAATGCAGGCACTTTTATGGTTTTACAGGATATTGCCCAATGAACCATTGTTCTGACAACAATCTTACTTAATGCAGACAATTATCCGCACAAAGGAAAATGTTGAGAAGAAACAGGCTCTGACATACGAGGAAATGGAGGCAGAACGGGAAGAGGTAATTCGTAGACTACCCTGCTGAGGGATAGAAACTACATATTGCTCTTGACTTTTTTGCTAGCATTCTTTGCATGGTACAATACCAAAAAGGATGGTTTATCTATTCTGTGCTGTGCTATATGAAGCATAGATCATGCAGTTAAGATGACATTTCATCGCAGCATGCACATCAGCACATGCAAAAGTAAATTGTTTACTGTGTTTTTATGATACATTTTCTTCCTTGGGCGATTTCTATCAGGAAGAAGTACAAGCAGAGTCAGAGAGTGATGATGAAGAGCAGCAGATTTATAACCCCTTGAAGTTGCCCATGGGCTGGGATGGGAAACCTATTCCGTATTGGTTATATAAACTTCATGGGCTTGGTCAGGTAACTTTTTTTCGGTGTATTTAGCTAGGTGTTTTTTAGGTGGTGTTTGATTGGTGACTTTTGTATCCTACTAATGGATTTGATACCCATTCCCATGTTTGTTTGCCTGCTTATGCTATCCTACTATTGGATTCAATCCTTTAGTAATCATAAAACCCATTACCATTTCCCTCCCCTACTTTTGAACAATGGAATAAAAAACGAGGAAGAAAAAAAGAAAAATAAATGTGTATGTATTGTATGTGTATGTGTATGTGTATGCGTATGTATTATATATTTTTATATTTTAATTAATTATTTATTTTTATTCCAATTCCTATTTACTACGAAACATTTACTACGAAACAAAGAACTTCATATGGAACTTATATATATATACACACACACACAAATATGTATGTTTATGTATTGTATATTTTTATATTTTAATTTTAATTAATTATTTATTTTTATTCCAATTCCTATTTACTACCAAACAATGAAACTTCTTTCACATAATCTCATTAGTCATTACAATTACCAAGCATTTGATTCCAATTGTGATTCCGATTCCAATGTTTAAACCAATGTTTCATTGCTGCCTAAGGAGTGTGTTGGGAGTGTTCACTCTTTTACCTAAGTAACCAAGTTTCCTAAGAAAATAGAGAAAAGTAGGACACCTAATTAAGAAGGGAAAGAAAAGGATTATATATAATTATACCTCATAACCTTTGTTCAACCTCTTTTCCCTCCCTCTATGTCAACCAACTGTGGATTAATTTATGCCCAAATGGCTCTTCCATTATTTCCAGATAGTTGATAGTTATTTTATACTATTCATTTGAGCACTTCTTGTTTATATGTTCTTAATATTGTCTTTTAGAGGAACTCATCCTTACCCCCCCCCCCCCCCAAAAAAAAAAAAAAAAAAAAAAAAACTAGCCAATCCCTTCCACGATTTGCAGATAGTTCATAGAAGTTATTTTACACTTTTATCTGAACACTTGTTAACATGTTCTTAATTGTGGCTGGTTAATAATGTGTTTTAGGAATTCAAGTGTGAGATCTGTGGGAACCACAGTTACTGGGGTCGTAGAGCATATGAACGACATTTCAAGGAATGGAGGCATCAACATGGGATGCGATGTCTTGGTATCCCGAATACCAAGAACTTCAATGAGATTACATCTATTGAGGTATGTTCTTTATATCTGTCCCTCTGGCATACCATCTGGAAATTTTTGTTAATTTTCCTGGTTATAGTAGAGTCAAGTTTTTGTCTGCTCTGCTCTCTAGTTGCCGTCATAGTTGCTTTTCATGTGAAAATATGTTTTACACAGGAAGCAAAGCAACTTTGGGAGAGAATCCAGGAGAGACAAGGTCTTAACAAATGGCGCCCAGATCTTGAGGAAGAGTATGAAGATCAAGAAGGCAATATCTATAACAAAAAGACATACACAGATCTGCAACGGCAGGGTTTGATTTAGAGGTCAGCTTTTACCAGCCGTGTTTATGTGGGAGATCTTCTAAACTCGGCAAGGGTATATTTTTTTCTTGCTACATTTACTTTCGTCAATCAAAAATAGTGCCGATATTTGATGATGATTTGATGGTATCTTGCTGTTTTCTCCAGCTTCTTAGGCATCATGTTTGGTGCAAGGAAATTGTGAGGGAAGCGGAAAGTTTGTAGCGTGTAATAGAGGGATCCCCTAGAACACCAGAGGAGGCAGTCTATTATACCAGAAGAGATGGATGATGGAATGTTTCCATGTATCTTTTAACAGCTTTTCCAACATTGGGATCCATTCTAACACCAGATATAGTCATATAGACTTCTTGAAGGGGGAAAAAAAATCCTAAACGGAATTTGGTATTTATGATTCTACAATTTTCATGTTTGCTTTTGATGTATTTGCTTTGCTGCAGATCTTGGTTCTGTTAGATTATGATGTATGTTGGGAGAAGATTATGATGTCTGTATAATTAATGTCTTGGCAATTGTACTTTTTGGCTTATTAATTATGAAGGCGCTTGGCTGCTTTGCTGTTTAAAAAATAAAACTACTTCGTACTAAACTTATGTGCCTATCTCGTTGATGACCATGAAGAGTTTTGAGCCAACTTGAAGCGATCTGCACAAACAACCTCTCAAACAGTCAAGCATGTTTGTGAAGTAAGATGGTTTCTGATTATTGGTCAGGGAATACTTTTAATATGAGTTAATTACCAAAATGGTCTCTGGATTATAGCGAAATTATCAATTTGGTCCTTGACTATTTTTTTTAACCAATTAAGTCCCTCAACTTTAAAAATTTTAACCAATTTGGTTCTCTGTTAGTTTGACTGTTAGTCAACCGTTAACTTGGGACCAAATTGGTAATTTCGCTATAGTCAAAGGACTATTTTGGTAATTAACTTTAGGGGTTGGCAATTCGGTTTAGTTTTTCTCGAATCGAACCGAAATAATATACCGAACGATATTGTGCTATGCTGATGCCTGGGACAAAACGCAAGTGTCCGTTTCACGTTGACCAATCAATAAAAAAAATATTTTTGAAAATTTCAAGAAACTTATGTGGGACTTGTGTTAAAAATTTTATTTTTGTCATCAATTTGTAAAAGTTTCTCATTTCAATCTTTAACCTAACTACAGTTACTATTAGTATTACTACTAGTTAATGCCAGTTGATGAACGGACAGCTTGACGCGCATTCACATTCAGTCATCATTCGTTTTTGTTTTCTTTCTTCATACACACCTAAGAATGTTTTTTCTTTCTTTCTTCAGCTTAAGACATTTTCACGAGTTCTTTGCTTTAAGTTCTTGTTCTTGCCTTTAGGGTTCACTTTATCTTTCGTACGTGTTGTCCGAGCGATTGTGTTAGCTAGCTGGTGAGCAGTCCTAGATTGTAAAATCAACATAGGTGTCGTCTGCGGGGATCGAACAAAAAACCTGTTGCTTGTAGGTTTGGCTTACTGTGGGATTGAGATAGTTGTCCGTTTTTTATCGCAATTTCCCTTCGTTTGAGATCATGGTGACAACTAAGAAGGGACGTCAAGATGTTGTGGGAGCCCGTTCAGGGCACGATTTGTAGGAATCTTTGAGCAAGTCCAATTCGAGGGAAATTTTCAGGACCTTGATAAGGTCGTCTTTGCATAGAGAAAAGTTTGTGGGAGACCATCATTAGGCACCACCACTGATGCCGGCAAACTTGCCCCTGGTTGGTGAGGAGGGGAGGTTGCCCAACCTTTACACACTTGAAGCACCTGATTGGGTCCCTTCTACAGTTGGTTCTTGGGTGATCCTTCCTACACTTCTTGCAATAGTAGTGTCTTTCTCCTGTCTGATTCTTCTTTACTACACTCGGGCCTTGACTTGGGCGATCATTCCCGTCCACCGTGCCATGGTTCCTTTGAAAGTCCTTGACTTGATCATGATGGCTAAGTCTTGACTTCTTTCCTACTTGCTTCGCGTCTTTTTTAGCTTTTCTCTTGCTTTGGCTTTGCATGCCCCCTTGAATCTGATGTGCCCCGATGACAGGAAGATCCATTCCCAGAATGCTTCGAGTCCAAATGTTTTTTCTTGGCACCATTACGATACTACATGAACCGCACCTAATCACTAACGATTGCCTACCGTAAACCTATTCTACAACTTTACACACATAAAAGGCACATAGCAACAACCACAAAACTCCCTTAACAAATATAAAGCATAACTCTTACACTTGTCAAATCAGCAAAACTTTTCACATAACTTTCAACTTCAGAGAATAAAATAAACTGGATGCTAAACAAGTTAGATAGCATATAATCAAGTTATGCATGCACAAGAAACTCACAATCTCACCGCGTTCTTATATATAACTGATATCCTCAAAAGAACTTCTTAGCCTGAACATCTCATACTTAAGCACTTAGCTTGTGGTCAAACTCCATAGGCTCAAATAAGGCCATCTTCTTCACCCTATAACTTACAACTTAGGGCTCATTTCTTTAACTTTGACCACCCTAGGACTTCAACTTAGGGCTCTTATACCAAATCTCAAAGCTCAGATTTCCTATGTCCCGCGGTTCGCACAGTTCTGATACCAACTTGTAACACCCCATTTTTCTAAACTCTAGAGCCCGTAAATTAAACATTCAAACTATAATATAATCAAAGGATTAATATAAACTAGGATAGAATCCAAAACATAATTTGAGGGGAAGTGTCACCGCCACAGTCACCCACTTGCGAGTGACTGTACAGGCTAACAAAACTACTAAGTCAAAGAGTCAAACTCAATAAAATGACAAAAAGGGGAAGCAATCCCCGGTGTCTTCACACCAACAACAGTAAAGTAGTTTACTACAACCATCAGCAAAAATACATCTAAGGGAAGAGGGGTATTATTCTAGCAACTAATACACTAGAGCTACGCGCTAGTCTATCAACGCGCGCTCTCATGCACTAGGCCCACCTGAAAGGGGTTATAAAACATGTAGGAAAATAAGTCCGTTAGCAATTAATGCTAAGTATAAAGTCATTCAACCTTGTAAAGTACTATAGATATAGGTTGGAAAACGTTTGCATTCATACACAAATCTCAAGTATGAAAATAAGCAATCAAGACACTTAGTCAACGAATCTCATTAGATATACTAGTATACTTCTATATGCTCAACAACCTATATTTTCATAACATCAAGCTTTAACTCAACTCAAACTTATGCAAATTCGCATGCTGTAAACAGATATAAGTCATCTATATTCTACTATGCACTTCTCACAATCATGCTGATACTTTTAAGATAGATAATGAAATAACTGATGCTTAACAAGTAAAGTCATGCCTTCATGCTAATACTTAAACAATGAATGATACTGTACTTCTCAAATAAGTCATATGCTATGCCATGTTATAAATGGAAGTATGATATTATATATATATATATATATATATAGGGAAGGGATCAGGTGCATTTGTGGCTTCCCGTGCGGTTGTGCGGTGGATTAATGTGCGGGAGGTTTATACTTAATGTGCCTGAGATTTGTACTCAATGTGCCTGAGATTTGTACTTAATGTGCGTAATGTTAATATGCTTGAGTTTTGTACTTAATGTGCCTAGTATTGTACTTAATGTGCGTGAGTAGTTCAGAATTACGAGCTCAGAAGGAAGCAGAACAGAAAACTCATGCACATTAACGCCCAAGCTTCTTGTTACTTCTTCCTTCAATTTGGCCATGGATTCTGGATTATCAGCTACCTTCAGTGCAGTTGAATGTTTATATAGATGACGCACGCACAACAAAATTTGCACACCAACTAAGTGTGGATTTCTGTTGTATTATTCCCATAATTCTTAACCACCATAGCCGCCTCCGCATCATCATCATCAGGGAGGGGGCAATGGCTACTGGGGATGGAGAAGAAGCTGACATCCATATTTTCTGCTGCATTTTACACATTCATGCACATTAAATACAAATCTCAGGCACATTAAGCACAACACTCACGCACATTGAGTACAAAACTCACGCACATTAATCATCCGCACAACCGCACGGGAAGCATTCAACCGCACGGGAACCTTTCACTATATATATATATATATATATATATATACACACACACACACACACATACATACTTGTACTAACGCTCTTTATTAAAAATAAATACTTTTCTGTGGAGGATTTTTGTTGAGTCACTTGACTCGCTTTTCTGTTCTTTCTTTCTTGCTTTCCTTCTTTCTTTCTGTTGAGTCACTTGACTCGTTTTTCACTTCTTTCTTACTTGCTTTCTTTCTTCTTTCTCATGATTCTCCTTTATCTTCTTTCTTTCAAATCTGGGTCTAAGAGGCAGGCACTCCACCACGGTGAAGTGTGTGCGACTGGTTGACTAGTTACTCGTTCTATGGGTCGTAGGCCTCGATTGTTCTATTAGTGCATAAGGTTCAGTCGGTGTTGACCGCTTTGCCACCCCCACATCCTTTGTGCCCAAGAGATCGTCCGCAACTAGTGGAACCAACATATGATGAGATGAAATACTACTGTTACCATCGACACATGGGTCATAACACAAAGCAGTGCCTAATTCTGCAAAGGGAGATTGGTGATATCATTCAGAGGGTTCGGCAGGGTCCGTCTAATGACTGTCGACCACCAAATCAATGACGTCGAGTCTTGTGGATGCTAAGAAAACTGCTCCCACCGAGCAAGTTTCCAGGCAGTAAAATCCCACTTGGGAAATAATGGAAAGTGTCCATTGGTGGAGGAGGAACTAATCGAGCAGAACTAAAGGCACAAACCAGTTATTAACATGATCTACGGTGGGCTAAAGGGCGAAGATAGTTTGGGTGAGTGAAAGAAGTAGGCACGACAACTATATTGGGGGGAGTCTCTCAGGTTGAGTGTTAGAAGAATATGAGGCACAAGCCCATTAGCTTTTCTAATGATGACTTGTCGAGGGGGTTTTGTTTCACCAAGACGCCCTCATAATCGCAATGGAACTAAAGAAGACGGTGGTTCGAAGGGTGTTAGTCGACAATGGTAGTAATGTCAACATTTTGTACCTAGAGGCTTTTAAGAAGCTGGGTCTCAAGAAGAGTTACTTGAGGCCAATCAAAACGCCCTTGGAGAGTTTCATAAGAGATTTGGTGGAGGTAGAGGACTCGGTCATTCTACCTGCGGAGATCAACCAGTAACCCCAGGTGCAGAAGGTAGACATAGAGTTCATGGTAGTGAGGCTGACGTCGTCCTACAATGTGAACCTCGGTTATCCAAGCCCGAAGGACTTGGGCACGATAGTTTATGTTGAGCACATGTGTGTGAAATTCTGGATTGTAGAAGGGGGTTAGAATTACCCGTTGCAACCAGACAATGGTTGGTTATGTTATTTGCAGGCCTGTTGGAAAATATGAGAGATGGATATGACAATTCACGCAATCGTTAAGTAGGCCACAAAGGAGGAGTTGATCAAGCAACAAGAGCCCACCGTAGAGTTGGAAGAAGTAGCCCTCGAGGTTGATTGCCTTGAGAGATGGGTTAGAATCGGGGTC